GCTAAATTGGAATAACTCATTTTGTGCTTAATGCACTTTAATTGTGTAGAAGTAGTGCTGATGTCCAACTAAAGATATGCTTAGTATATTTGATTGTGCTAAAGTGGAACTATTGCAAGTATACTTCAGGTACACTTTAAATATCTTGCATTTAAAGATATCATTGTCATATCAAAACACATTTTAGGCGTAATATTAAGAAATGTGCATTGTGCAATAAAGAAATACTCCAAATAAAGTGTCAATAAATGTTAAAGGGTTAGTTCACCCAAAAATGAAAATTAGTCCATGAATTACTCACCCTCAAGGCATCCTAAGTGTATATGACTTCCTTCTTTCAGATTAATCCAATCGTGAACAAAGGCCTCCTGTAGCAAACGCCAACCTCATCCGCCTGGAACTGCTTCCATGTACAACTGTTGGCACAAGCTAGATTAAAGTGATTATTACGTTTTGAATATAGATATTTTTCGTACAAAAACGCATCGATTCGCTACAGGAGGCCTTTGTTCACCCTCCGGAGCCGTGTGAGGCACTTTTTATTATGAATGGATGCGCTTTATTTAACTTCTTTGGACTGATGCACTGCAGCACCCGGTGACTGCCATTAAACAGCTTGAAAGATCAAAGACCATTTTTAATATAACTCCGATTGGATTCATCTGAAAGAAGAAAATCATATACACCTAGGATGCCTTGAGGGTGAGTAATTCATGGGCTAATTTTCATTTTTGGATGAACTAACCCTTTAATGGATTTGAAGTATACTTAGTATGAAATAAATGTATTCTAAATAATTTATAGCATAGATTTTTTATTTACTAGGGGAGCAAATTCCAGCAGGTCCTTACAATAAGAATAAATGAGTGAGGCAAATCTAGGACAGATGAAATTAAGGTTCACATTTTTAAACAAATGTTACACTTTATTCACTTTAAAAAGTACATAATACACTGCCTGTAAATACACCAGAGCACAGTCTGCCATAGATGATCTCTTCAACCAAACAACAATGTTCTGGGTCTTTGCTGTCCTTTTTGTCACAAAATGCCTCACATCTCCTGCAAAGCACTGCATGAAGCACTGCATTCAAAATATCACAAACACATCTCAAAAGCAAACATTTGCAGACACCTTTGCCATAATATTAATTCCTTTTAGATTTTTGTGTTACATAGAGAATTGTGTTGTGTTTTGCAAAAAGTGTTTTATGAAATTGAAAACTGACTGTCAAAGGCCGAGAATTACTGTATGGTTTTGCAGATTTGGTGTGTGATTCTGGTGTTTGAGTGTCAGGTTTCAGAAATTTTGTAGTAAGTAAAGATTTTGTAAGCAGTTGAAAAAACTGTAAGACGTGGAGTATTCCTATTTTAGTCGCATTATCGAAGTGCAGTATAGATATGTGCTAGTGTTAATTTCATTAACGAAGACTATGACGAAAAATGTTCGTAGACGAGCTTTTTTCCCATGACTAAGACGAGACGAAGACGAGACGACAATAAGGTCAATAAACGATAACGTCTCGGTTACGTATGGTAACCCTCATTCCCTGAAGGAGGGAACGGAGACGTCACGTCGGATGACCGACGAATTGGGATCTTGCTTAGAGAGACCAATCTACTTCGAGTGTAAACTAAACGAACCTTGGGATCTCGCTTAGAGGGACCAATCCACTTCGAGTGTAAACTAAACGAGCCAATGCACATTGGCATGCGATTATTGCATCCAGCTGCCGCTGATCACAGCGTGAGTATAAGTAGGCAGCAAATGCAGCGCATATTTAGGTTTTCACTGAGGAGCTGAGCCGGTGACCCGGCTGCTCAGCGGTGGTACAGGAGCTGTGGCGACGGGACGTGACGTCTCCGTTCCCTCCTTCAGGGAACGAAGGTTACCATACGTAACCGAGACGTTCCCTTTCAGTCGGTCACTCTCGACGTCACGTCGGATGACCGACGAATTGGGATCCCTACCAAAAGGCCACAGATACTGCTACTACCAGTGTCCTGTGGGAGCCTCCTGCGCCCCTACTTTTTGGTGCAGGGCAGGGCTTACACAAGAGGACCAGCTACTGCTGCTATGGCTGCCCCTTCCAGTGTCCTGTGGAAGCCACCTGCGCCCCTACTTTTTGGCGTAGGCCAGGGCCTGCACAAGAGGACCAGCTACTGCTACTATGGCACTACCCACTGAGTAGACTGGATAACACTGGGGAAACGCACCCGTTCTACTTGGAACAGGGACGTTACGGAAGCTTGAACCTTCCCGAAGGAGGTTTCGGAAGCAATACACATATGAACATCCCTTAGGTGCATATGGAAGATTGGAGGTGATTGTAACCCTCTTGGAGTGGCAGAAGTCTGCCAGGGAAACACGGGCTCTGAGGACATACTGTGGACTTTACACATATGGGATCCACTTAGGTCTCCACATATGGAACCCAGCCCTCTCCCGGTTCTCACGGATTCATCGAGAGAGGGCCTGGCGCCGGCGGTGCGGAGTTCTCTGAGAACTTCCGGGTCGTGACCACCCTCATGCAAGTCCCTCAGTGCCTTGGCCTGGTGCACTTGCAACAACGCCGTACTGCCGTGCTACTGCCCGTAGCTTGTAGGCAGAGGCAGCTTCTCCACAGGCATCGCTGGCCAGTCGAGTACCTACAAACCCGGGAGGGGGGGCACGGTTCTCCCTGCCGGGTGGAGGCGGTATGCAACTGCATCGCAACTGACCGCTCCACCGGGGAGACCCTTGTAACCCCCTAGCTAGGGTGGGTGGTGAGGGAAGAGGAACCAGCAGATCGGTTTCCGGCAGTAAAAGGTGCCGTCCACGACCTGGTGAGCTCCTTATGCACCTCCGGGAAGAAAGGCACCGAGGCGGGGCGCTGAGAACCAGCGCGGACCACCCCGAGCGCACAGGGGAGATGATCACTTGCAACACAAACACGGGGTAGTGCAGCCTGATGTGTGCAACCCACTCGACACGGGAAACCACCACCACTGAAGCGCCGTACCGCCAACACGAAGAGCTCTCCAAGAGCGCGCTGAACTCATTCAGTCTTCTTCTCTCAGTAGAGTAGTCAGGAGCAGAACGATGCGATCGCTCGGGTCCGAAGCGAAAAGCTGAATATGCACTGCATCTCCTGCCTACTTATACTTACGCTGTGATCAGCGGAAGCTGGATGCAATAATCACATGCCAATGTGCATTGGCTCGTTTAGTT